TCAAGGAGTACATTGATCCTGTTGATTAATTCAAGGTCGAGTATTACAGGATGCTTTAGAACAGGAGGGATGACGGTATGAGCAACATACACGTACTGAGAAAAGAGTATAACAAACAAAATATCGAGAAAGAAAACGCAAACAGCTGTCCCAACGTGGAGCAGAGAAAACCCGAGCATTATCATAAAATAGAAGACATAAGCAAATACGAGGCCCTTGAAGTACCAGTATTTGAGAAGGGTGGCTCCCTGAGTGTTGCTGATGACAAGATTAGCTCTCCAGAAGCAACCTTTGTGAGCATCACCTCCAATGGAGTGTCTCTTCCCGAACTCTCTCATTGTAATATCAGTCTGCTGCACCTCTCCTGTATTGATGGTGGAGTAATTTGGCTGTCTCCCACTATTCAGGGCCATCTTTCTTCCAATTTGAGCTCTCTTTTGCTTTAAAATTCCTTTTCTTCTTACTACAGATAAAGCCCAAAGTTAGTTTAAGTACACAGAAAGGGCCTTTTATGTGGAAGATATACAAAAGTGAAAGCCTTTCTGTGTAATAACTGATAGCATAAGCTGCCAATCAATAAACAACATCAGAAAATGAGTATGTTAGTAATGAAAAAGGAAAGTAAAACCATTTGATCTCCCTCAATTGATAAACGAATATTTTAATTATCTAGATAATTATAGTCAAAAAATAATAAAGCTAAACTTTAATCTAAACATTTTGACTAACTAAAGTTAGATCTAATTATTGTCATCAGTGAGGATGGTGCTTGGCATCCCTCCACTCACAACCAGGATCCCAATGAGGCAGCCCAGGGCATAAAGAAAATGAATGATAGCTCCCAGGAGTAGAAGAAAAGAGAATGCTCGAGTCTGGCGAACCCTACTATGAGCCCTTGGGCTAAGAGCCTGAAACTTAATAGTACCACTAGCTGAACTCAATTGAAAGAGGCCAGCACTACGAGCTTCATTATACTGCACTTCCACATTGCCCACCTGCAATCCAGCAGTATCTACTGTATTCAGGTAGATATAGCGACCATCAACGACTTTTATTTTAACCTCCAAAAGTGTATTAATCCGATTGATAGTTTGGAGAGCAGGCAGCACAGGATGCTTGATGACAATGGGTATGACTTTGCAAGCAATATTGACATACTGAGAGAAGAGCAGGATCCACAGTATATCTCGGACAATAAAAACACTGGCAGCAATAACGTGAAGGAATGAGATGAGTCCAATGAAACAATAAAGGAGGAACATTTTCACAAACCCTTTCATGTACCAGTAACGATGCAGGCTCAGTCCCTGAGTATTCTTAATGATGAAATTGGTTTGATGGAAGCAACCACCCGATATAGACTGATGTTTGCCAAACTCTTTCACTTCCACCTCCGTACGCTGAACATGTCCGGCTCCCACAGCGGAGTGTTGACCTCGACTAACAGATACCTGGTTGGACATATTGTATCCTTTCTCTTCCTCTCTTTGTTTGCTTTGTCTGTGTCTCCTTATATTTGTATTCATATATAATGGCCAAGATACGACGCTAACCGCAGCCAAGAATACCATGCCATCATGGGAAGATTTCCAAGAAATTGAGGGATGGGTATAGTAAAGCATTCAATGGTAACACTGTATCCAAACAATTCCAAGAAATGGTTAGAAAAGTTATTCTAGCTTAACAAAGTGTATCACTTTATATTCCTCAATGCTATGTTAGTAATACATTTGGCATGTACAATTGCAATAGATTGTATAATTAAATCCAAGAAATTGATGGTAATAAATATCAAGATGGCATGAACCCATTACCAGCTGAAAAGTAAAAGACAAAAAAAGATGGAGTCTCTTCATTAATTAATAGTTACAGTAAAATCAGTAGAAATGACAACCCCTGGCCTTCCAATGGTCAATACCTTAGCATTATTGTTATATGAGAATCTTAATTCTTCAGTATTACCGCCTGTGGGTTAGAGAGAGATGCTCATACATTATTAATATCTTTATTCAACTAACCTGTCTCCATTGCAACTGAACTAGGTTTCTTCCCATAGCCAATGATGACTAGGCGCTCCACCCACGCCTTTGTAACAAGCTGACCGCTACCATTACCAGCTCTGTACCGTAATGAAATTAATAACTATTTAATAACTGATGGGAGGGGCTTACTTGCTACTAAATACATTGCCATTGAAGTTAAAATCTCTCAATAAAAAT